ATTGTATCCTTCTTCCTGCCCTAACTCTGGTGAACCCAAACATACCATTAAAGTACGTTCAACAATACTGGCAGACTTGCGAGTTTGATCCTCCAAGTCATGGAATAATGGGAGACATAGACGCTCCAAACGACATGATTTGCTCAGTAAAAATTTCACGAGCAAAAATTTCTAAGGTGTTATGCATTCCCACCAGACGAGAACTCGAGATCGAACAATATGACGAACCACCTTCCTCCGAGGACATTCTAAGGTTCGTAAGGATGCTAGGGTACAACCGGGACATACGAAACATCTCAGACTTCAAAAGACAATTCCTCCCACCAATGTGGAATTTGTTCTTTTCCATCCTCAACCGCTCTCTCATATGCAAGTTGGGCTCCCTTGATCAAGGAAATCTCAACATAATGACAATTATGTATGGGCTTTTCTTCAATCTCAATCTCGACTACGCCCTCCTCATCTACATCGAGATCCACGCGGCCGTGCTCAAAAAGTGTAAACTTCAAGCCACAGGAAAGTCGCTTCTGTTGTCCTCTTCCCCCGCTTCCTTGCTCTCATCATTGGGGATGCAATGAGGCAACACGGTCTACCTGCCATAGAGCCATACACCCCAGTTTACAAGATGCAAGGACATCGCCCAACACTCTCGAAGGAAGGATACACAATCCAGCGACCGCTGTCTTAGGCTATGCTCACTGTCATTCCATCGACAAGTGAGATACGCCAAGCCTATGAACGCTCCATGCTGTCCCAAGAACCAAGGGCAGCTATCCCGGAGCACTTAGAGCTGTCCCCCTCCAAGCGAGGGAGCACAAGCATCGTCTTCATCGGATGATAAAGATGATATGATGATGCTAGTGCTTCCCCCAGCCTTCACCAAAATATTCCCCACCCTCCTATCCAAAGGGCAACCACATCTACTACCCCTGGCGATCAAAACCAAAGGGGTATTGAAACAGTACGACTCAGTCCCACCCAAACCCAAGCCAGCCATCCAGAGGCCATCCTTCGGGCCTCTGGAGATGAACAAGCCGAGGAACCACATATACCATCACCCCTCTCTCAACAGAGAGGTGATGAAGAGATAAGAGCCCCTTCGCCTCAGGGCTCGCCACTAACCCGCACACACACAGAAGCATTCGTT